AGATATAATATATATGAATTTTATAATTTTTAGTTATATAATTAAGGATTTAAAAATTGTCAAAGTTGAAATTTATAGATATGTTTGTTTTATGTTAATAAGCTTCTGATTATCAGAAATCAAAAAATTGAATCAAGGTGCCTTAACAGCTACAAGGTATATATTTAATTAAACTTAAGTTTTTAATTTTTAAAACTTTATTAGTGTTAATATTTGCAGGTATCTTTTGACAAGAGAAAGTGGGTTCTTTATTTATGTGTATAATATACCTATTGAATTAGGAGGGTTTGAAAGGCAATATTTGCAAGAAGAAAAAGTTGTAATGATAAATAGTTTTCTTTTCAACTATGCCATGCATATATTTTTTGAAGATATAAACTCAAATATACAAAAAAAAATAGAAGAATCTGATCTATCCTAGTTAGATGACAACAAATATTATGTTACTGATAAAGAAATTACAGTTTCTTTCAATAATAAAAAAATATATTTAAACCATCTTTTAGGTTTATATGAAATCTATATAACCTGGAGATATAGCAAATTTGCTTATACTAATCTTAATTTTTTGGATTATACAATTGTAACTACTTGCTTAAAAGAAATATGACCTGTTAATGATAAAGAATTTGCTTACAGTAAAGAAAATTTTGATGAAAACAACTTTTATATGATGAAATAGAAAATGAAAATTGAAATAATAGGTATTTTTTAAACATTACAAATTATTAAAAATTTAAGTTATTAATAAATTAAAATTGCTACAATTTTTATTAAGAAATACTCTTTATTGCTGGTCAGGAAATGAATTGTATAATATTACAGTGTTACTGATAGAAGGTATAACTTGTAAATTGTCTCAAAATTTGGTTAAAAAAATAGTATCAATTATAAATAAATAGAGAAAAGATAAAGAAGAAGCATATCATATAGATTATCATTATAATTAATCAATATGCTTTATAAGCCCTTGAAACATTGATAATAAAAAATAAAGAAAAAAATGATATAGAAAATCAAGTTATTTTAAAGAGTACTAGCTATAATAAGGAGTATATTAATATGGAAGTAAGTGAATGATCATGAGTTGAATAAATGAATTTATTTAAATTTAATAAAAAAAAATTTTTAAATTAAAAAGTTAATAAATATTTTTGAAAGGAAATATACTAATTAAAATTTTTTTTATTAAAATAAAGCCAGGTTAATTCCTAATTCTTAAAAAGCTTTAATTATTTTTGGATCATTATTATATTACTAGCAATAATTTTTTTTTATAAATTCTAATGATTAAATATACAGTATGTTATAACTTAATAGTTATATTAATTCTAGTATGATTGTATGACATTTCTTCAATTGTAAGTAAAGCTTTTTGAAGTTCAAAATTAATATTTATCTAGTGAATAGTTACACCAATATATGATTTATAAAATTCAGTCCATTAATCAATTGTAAATCAATTTTTATTATTGTTTTCAATAAATTAGCCAAAGTTTTATGAGAAAATTCAACACTTTGTGCAATTATAATTTTGATTGTATTATTACAAGATACTTAATAACTAGGACATATTGAATTATAAAAAAGTTGAAAATTTTTATTTTTTAATATATTAAATGTTTATAAATCATCCAATATAAATTTTAAAAGATGAAAATTGGATAATTCTTATTTATTTCTTGAAAATTGTTTAGATATAGCTTTTTTAGTAATTTAAATAGATTTTTTTAATTAACAAATATATATTTGTTATAAGATGAGTATATATAAAAAGATGAGTATATATAAAATGATAGGCATAAGAAGCAATGGATATATTTAAAGAAAGACTTGTTTTGCATCTTCTGATTTTGCATGAAGGGTTCACTGTATATTAATTTTTATAATATTTTAATAAATTTTAATTAAGTAAGTTAATATATAACTGATTAAATACTATTAATATTTTTCCGATTTTGAATGCCTCATACTGTATAATTAACCCAAGGGTTTAAATTAAAAAATAAACAATTCTGCATCTTTTTTATTAAGTTTTTAATTGAATTTAAAAAATTGTTATTCTAGTTTCTTTTATTGGGCAATCGATCCGATAATTTTTAGTGTCATATAGTCTCAGGGTAGACAACGTCCCACGAATCTGGGATATAAACAACACTCTTTGACAGTATCACGATTTAACATCCAAGCTATGAAACGTTCAACCCCTAATCCAAATCCTCCGTGTTCCGTCGTTCCATACTTTCGTTGGTCCGTATACCAATAATAGGGCATGGGATCGATGCCTTTTAAAAAATAAGTCGAATGAAAGGTTAGTAAAATAGAAAAGAACTATAGGCTGTAGAATGAATGTGTCAATAAATTACCTTCCCGCTTGTAACCTTCTAAAAGCTCGTTCTATGTAAGTATGATAAGATTGTTTTTTAGGTTAGATGAAGAACTTGCAGAAATAATAAGCGAACATAAATTTTAATTACCAAATCGGAAATTCTCATGCTGCCTCCCACAATTTCACCAACACCAGGCATTAGTACATCTACACTCTCCGTTATACGACGGTCATCTTCACAGCGTTTCATATAAAAACTTTTGATTTCAGCAGGAAACCGACATAGAAAGATTGGACGGTTGATTTGATCAGTCATAGTACGTTCAGGTGATTCCGGGATATCCTCACCGAATTCAAAGAAAGTGCCATCTTCTTTTTTAATATCATGTTCTTTTAAGTATTGTAGAGCGTCCTTATAATCTAAGCGCATAAATGGACGTTCAGGTGGTTTAAAGCCAGGATTAAGTTGATAAACCAGTTCTCGAGTTGGCTCATGGGAGAGCACTCTATCAATTGTGTCACAAATCAAATCCTCTAATGTGTTTAATAAATCATCAAATGTGATAAATGCCATCTCCGCCTCCAAGTGTGTATATCTATCCAAATAGTTGAGAGATTAAACGGATATTGCACTGACTAATGAAGAATTATGAATTATGACTTACTCGGATAAGTGACGTCGAGTGTGAAATTTCTCTGCACGATATGATTCTGAACAACAGTACACATCTCCAAGAGATGGAAGGCATGTCTCGAGATAGAGTTGTGAAGATTGAGTAAGGTACGCCTAATAGAAGGTTGCGTTAATAATAATAATAATAATAATAATAATATATATGTGTGTATACCTTTTCACCATAATAATTCAATCCAAATAATGAACTTCCACCCTCAACTTGAGTTTGCACCATACAGGGAGGGTTTACTTCGGTGAATCCTTTATCATGAAAATGATCACGAAACGCCTTCGTTATCTGAGAGCGAACCTTTAACACAGCAGATGCGGTTTCACCACGGATAACAAGGTGACGTTGTTCATATAACACCGATGGATCAGCCTCAGCATTTAATTGATTGGTAAATGCATCTGCACCTCCAGGCGCTTTATGAATTACTTCCCAATAGTTTGCGGAAAGCTCATGATTGTCAGGAGCCTACGGTTTTGGTATAAGAACGGATCGATAAATAAAAAAATACGACTTATCACGTGTACGTTATTATAAATACCGTCTTTCCTTCAGGCAGTTCAGAAATAACGCCATAAACAGTGATTGTAGATTCTAAAGTCAACGTCAAAGCGTCATAGGTGTGACACTGTGACGTTGAACATTCGTATATTAGCAAATCTTCGAAGATACATTATCTCACGCAAAATAAAAATATCACACCAGTTTTCCAGTTAAAACACATTGAAGATAGCCAGTACCATCTCTCAAAATAATGAATTTTATGTCTTTCCCCTGAGTTCGAAGGCGATGAACCCATCCTGAAACTTTAACATGCCTACCACGGTTGGCAACAGTTTCACGGATCTTTATCTTAATTATCAAATAAGCTATCATTAACCTCATCCTTTACTTATCATGCAACTGATTTCCTAATATACCTTTGTAGCTTCTGGAAGACTCGGGTCTCTCTCAAGGACAATAAGTTTTGCTTCAGCTAATAATTGTCGTTCCTTTTCAGCATCCAATCTTTTCTGTTCCTCGGCTTTCTTTGCTTTCTTCGCCAAATCCTCGACACGCTTTCTCGCTTTTTTCAATGCAGCACCGGAAACGTCATTATAATCTCCGTCGGACGATTTTTTAATGAGTATCTTGACCTCTCCTCGACTTTGAAGTGCACAGACCAATGTTTGATATGGATTCTCCCTTTCTCCAGTGCCAGTTTTGTCAGAACCCTGAACCTCATCGACATAAACCGTGGCAGCTTTTATAAAAGGGTTTTTATTCAATTTAGGTTCAAAATGCAGTTAAACTAAGCTTTTTATGTGCATTCTGAGTTCAAACTCACACTCTTCCAGAGAAAATTGCTCAGTGGATTCTTGTATATCGCTCATCGATCTCGTAGGAAATAAAAAGTTTCCAAGAATTAGATCTCTAGGTTTGTGTGGCAAAGTCTTTCAATTAACCTACGGTGAAAATTAGAAAATAATTTATAGATGTAAATTTAAATTAAAACCTATCGGAAATCAAGTTTTTACAAGTTTTGATGGTTTCGCGAGTGACCTAATCATTCATAAATTTGATATCACAAGAACTTTTATTCAGAACAGGATTGGTTGACCCATTGATCGAGGAGCTATTGTCTAAAAACATGGCCCGTCAAAAAAAAAAAACCGACCAATCGATCCGTAGTCCGATTAGCGAATATTTATATTATTAGAAAATGTCAGAATTAATGATTTCCGAGGATATTTTTAATATTGACATTGAAATAGAGACGGAGAGAACCGAAAGGAAGATCAAAGAAAGAGTTGAACAACATTCACAGTACGTGCCAAAACATGATTATGATGGGGTACACGTTTTTTGTTCAAGAGAAAATTCGTTTGTCTGGTCTTGTGGAACACCCATTGCTAATTTTTATATTCAACAACCTTTAGTGGTTTCATAAGTCGAAAACGCCCACCTTCGATTTGCTCGTCCAAAAGAATGGACCAAATCAATTAAAACAATCCATCGATCATTATTATTTCCACAAAAATTTTCAAGAATCGTTGAGACTCTCGTTGGAATTTGTTGAATTTGTGGAGGACCGTAATAAAAAAATTGCTTGCGAAGGTGATGGTAATGTCGATGACGAGGAAAAGAAGCAACAATATCTGCACTCAAACCCAAACAAATTAACAAGCACCCGAGACATGCTGGAGATCGGTGCCCGCAGTGCCCTGAAATTGGGAAATGTTGAGATAGCGGTGAAATGCGCTGATAAGTTGGTGAGCGGTCGAGTCCTCATTTCTCTTGATTAAATAAATTGAAAGTATTTTTATTTTTATTTTTTTCTAATTATTGTTTGTTATTCAGATATCGAATGAACCTGGTCATATGTATTTTAGAGGAATGGTTTATGCGAGGGGTGGTCGATATGCCGGTAAGAAAAGAAAAAAAAAAAAAAAAAAAGACTTTTTTCGTTATCCATTAAAATTTTAAAGGGTCTGGTTGTATAATCAACACACCAATTTCGCTTTCCCAGATTCAATACGATACTTTATCAAATATGATCAAATGCGTAAGAATGATTACAAGACATGGAAAGAAATTGGCAGCACCTTTCTTTCTTTTTATCATTCCTTTTCTGCAACCAAGAGTTCTGAACAACTTTTTATCGAAGAACCAGACATAACTCTAGAGGATACTTTCATTGCACAAATTTCTTTGTTGAGCTTTCATCGTGCTCTTAAAATTATGAAAACCTCAGAATGGTTCAATTCTATTGATTTCGTATCTAATAGATTTATTCGTGAAAAAGTACAAATAGAAACGCTGATCCATAAGTTGGAAGAGGAAGGTGTGGACATGGAGGGTGCTTACGTGGGCGGAGAGAATTCAAAATTAGGGTTGGAAAAATACGGGTTCGAATCTGAAATGATAAATTACATATTAACGGAATGCAAGGCGGATGTAAGGGTGAGCGTCGACCAGGAAAAATCGGTAGATCAGTTATAACGACGGATGTGTGATGTTGGAGAGTAATATTTCAATTAGAATTTGTGGTGGGTGGTGGTTTTTCCCAAGGTTTTGGTCTTGGTTTCAAAGTAGGATTGGATGGTGTGCCTTTGTTAATTTCATTGGGAATTTTTTTGATTCCTTGTAATCAAGAGGAACGAACGTAAGTCGGATGCTGGATATCTTGTTTTAAAAAGAAAAGGTAAAACTCATATACCTGGTATTGGTTGGTTATTGGAAATCATTTCAACCAATTGCGCAAAGGATCTCGGATATTGCGGGGTTTCTGTGGACGATCAAAAAATTTTGTAAATAAACGACCAAATGAAGTCCATGTGCTTGTTTACCCACCATTTTTGTCCCGATTTTGTGCGTTATCATTTTCACTGTTCATGGCTGTCACCGGTGCCGAACTAGGCATCGGCTTCTCCTCTGACACCGAGGATGAGGATATCGGTGACTCGTTCGATTTCCACGCAAGATAATCATCGTAATCAAATTTTTGAGCGACTCTGTGGTGATAATCAAAAGTTGTTCAGAATGACGAATCATGTAAAGTTCATATCCAGAGAGTCGAAGAATTTTTACATTGAATAATAAAACCATTTGGCCCTTTCCACAAGACTTTCCATTTCTTCCTTTGATTTGTTCTCATTAAGAATTGAGGATAACCCGGACTATGAATTCGGGGAAAGAAAATAACAAGTTTACACCTTTTTTTTTTTTACGCATTAGCGAGAGGGGCTTCTTCTTTCCTTAATACCTGAAAATTCGCGTCATTGTTAAAGTCATAATTTTCAAATTCCTTGTATATCTGAATATTATTACATTCCATCGTAAGAAAATTGAGGGAGATTGATGTAGATCACGTCACGTTCACGCATTTTCTACTCGGCTGGAATAAGAAATTATGTCTTCACTTTTAACTTTCGCAAATAGACATACGTTCAAAAGAGTCCTCTCAAAGACCACAACCGTTAATGCCAATTTAGCCCTTCATTCGAGAGATCGAAATAATAAAGCATCATTTTGTTTCGCATCGAAATTCTTATTTGCAAACTGTTTCCATTATAGACTCGCAAATTCCTTTAATAAGCATTCTCGTGTTCCTATTATTTTTAATAGACGCATTTATATCACTAATGCTTTTAAAAAACGCAATTTTTCCGGTACGAGTCGTGTTAATGAGCAAGGACGAGACGCGAAAAGCATCGTTCAACGCGAAAGGGAAGAGGGCGGTTTGTCAACTGGGCGAAGAGGTGAGTAGATTGCAGGTAACATTCTTGACCATGTGCAAGTGGGACGCTGACCTTTTTTCCGAAACTTCTCGTTATTCGTTGTTTTGCGAAAAGTTGTGAGCACTGTTAAAACGACGACAAATTTTACTATAATTATATTGGGAGTCGGGTTGTTTGGTAATGTATAATTGGTTCCCATGAGTCGGGTTTTATAATTCGAGTCGAAATTTAAGATTCAACATTGCTAAATATATATATATATATATATAGGCGCCATTGCTTATTACGCCTTAACGGAGCTTTTTAGTTCGTCGGGTTCGACCAGAATATTTAACGATTCGTTAGAGAAGATCAGATCTAATCCTGAGGTGTGAAATGGATTCTACTCCGAGATAATTTTTGTTTATTGCGCATTACCTGACGCAAATTTAAATGTCATCAGTGTCAAAAGATCCTGGGCACGCCAATGAAAGGTCTCGGACATTCAGGGCGACGTCGTCAAATTGCTCGGCAAGTGTCCACTTTACGTTCATTCATGGCACATTTATGTCACATCTGGTGAAAGTAAAATTCATTCCATTTTATTATTATTATTATTATTATTATTATAACCCAAAGATTTCATGATGTAATAAATTCCGATGGCACTCCTCATCGATTGATGCGATTTTCCGTGGAAGGATCAATGTCGAATGGAGAAGCTTTTCTTGATATGGTCAAGGTATTGTACAGATTTCATTGCTTTCTTTTTTGAATTCGAGTTGTAACACGCGGACAGTTTTACAAAGATTGTGGCACCACGACATTTTAGGATGATCAAGGAAAGTGGATTACGAAATATTTGATTGTTAATGTGCCAGGTATTCTAAATTCTATCGTTGTATTTGAATATACCGATGAAGATTCTAATATGCATCATCATCTTGTTCATTAGGTTATGGAAAGAGGATTTTTGTTGAATACCATGCGAATAGTAATGATGCCGGCGTGCGGGATGAACAAGAAACCACAGTCGTAAAAGAAAAATGACAGTTGTGTACAATACAGGATGAGAACATATACAATAGATTAATTATTATAATTGATGTGTTAAAAATTTTTCAATAATGTTTTACTATCGCAAAACGTGTGAGCAAAACACAACACAATTCTTCAGCGCGAAATTTCTGGGTAATCATATTTAGTCATTATAACATTTACACCAATAAGTAAAGAAAGATCATCAATCAAATAAGCCAGTAAAATATTCATCAAATTCTTCTGTCCTGTCCGTTGCCGACGACCGAGGAACTTCTCTCTGTGACGACGTCGCAGACTTTTCACCTGAAAAGATTGAGGAATCAAGTGAATAGTTAAAGTTAGACAATGGATCAATATTTTATTCACGGGACCGCCAACTTACTGATTTTCTTCTTCTTGGAGCCAACATTATCATGACTTTCGGTGGCGTCGCTTTGATCTCGCTCGCTCCAACCCTCGTACGACTTTCTTTTTCGATTTTCATGTTTCTGTTCTCGATTTACTTCTTGATGACGGTTCTTATAGTTCAACTTGCCGGAACACTTTGGACAAAGTCTAATTTTCACCAACGCATTCTTCTTTTCTCCATCCTCTATATATGCGAAGTTAACTTCCCAAGACTTCAAATCATTTTTTTCGGAACACCTCGTTGACGCGCAGATCAATTGGCCTATGAGTGACATCAGTATTTTAAATATGTAAAATCAAATCAAATCAATCTTTCCTAGAATTCTTCAACCGACAAGGATTGAATGATGCCAATAACCTTTTCCAATTATCACCTCTTTTTCAATTCGCCATCGCAAGGCTATCTGTTTGATTATGTGTTTTTTTTTTTGTTTTTGTTTTTGTTTTTTCTTTTTTAATCAAGTTCCCGCTATTTATTATTCCGAGAAAGTAAAGTTTTTCTACCTTTCCCTCTCTATAATACTTCAAATCAGCAATACAATACTCCTTGAACAGCTTGTCGTAATACTTTTTTGCAATACGCTGTTCCCAAGTCAAATCTTCGTCTTCCTCATGGGAGCGTAGAAATCTAATAAAAAAAATGTAGTGACCAAAATCGAACATCTTCAAAATGATAACATTGGTCATCGCTAACAGGACTCAATTACTTATGATTTTCTTTCAGGATGTCTAATTCACTTCGGGGTCTCTCGGCTACGGCGGAGGTGATCGCTTGTTCCTTATCCCGTCCATAGAAGAAGACATAATCGTTCATAAATTTTTTATGGCGGGTGTACTGTGAAGGAATGTAGACGTGAGATCTCAAGCGGAAGACGTGAACGAGAGAATGAAATCGAATCCTTACTGCATCCAAGCCTTTCAAATTATTGGAGAATATTCTTTTGCTATATTCACTTTGCTGTTGGGAATCGGTCATGGTGGTTTTAAGGGAAATGAGTATACATTGTGCAATTACAATGCGTACAGTATATCACGCAGGATCAACCTTGCATATCCAATTGATCTACCGGCTACATCTTGATCTTACAAAATTGCAGATGTGACGTATGTGCGCATCTATATAAAAATGTTACTCTTCGAGTCGGAAAAAAAGCAGACCAAGCAAAAACAGCAAAGTCGACATCTAGAATTTCAAGCTATCGTTCTTGCGGGTTATGGTAATAGGTATAATTTTTCAAGTTGCTTTTCCGTTTCCTAAACATTTCGAACCGAATTGACCAGTTGCATTCTCACTTTATATAGTCTCTATCCTCTGACTGAAGATAACAATGTTCCCAAAGCCCTACTCCCCGTTGCAAATAAACCGATGCTATATTACGTCTTGGAGTGGTTGGAAAAAGCCGGAATTTTTGGTATTTGTGATAAGGCCAATCAGCTGGTTTGCTTGTTTTTTTTCCCTTTGACTATAGTTGCGACATTGACGATGAATTCATGCCAAAAAGATGTAATCATTGTATCGGAATCGAGTGGAGAACAAAAGATCGGATATTATTTGAAGAATGTTTACGAAGGGAAGTTGAGACCTCACCTGGAAGCATTCAAGGAAGACATGGGAACCGCGGACGTGTTACGACTCATCAAGGAAAGAATAAAGGTACTTACTTGTATTATTTTCACTCTTGTAAAGTCCGTGAAATGAAGATGGTATTGATTTGAATGTTTCTCATGCCTCTGGTAGTGCGATTTTATAGTTATGAGTTGCGATCTAATCATTGACCTCGCACCGCACCAATTTTTGGATTTTCATCGGTCGCACGATCCCACACTTTCAGCACTTTATTATGAGCCTCATAAATCTGAGGGAAGTGGTACAGGTGGTGGCAGTAATTACAAAGATGAAAGTATGTTCTGCCTCACTCGATGTATATGCGTGCGGGAATATGTATTTCATTTTTTCTACTCGCCTCTTGTTTTCTTCCCATTAAATCACTAGGCCCGAAACAAATTGTGGGCGTTGATGCCACCCAATCGCGTCTCGTCTATGTCGCATCTGGTGCCGACTTGGATGAGGAATTTTCTTTACGCATGTCGCTATTATGGAAGTAGGCATTTTTTCTGAAGAAAAGTAATTTTCGATTATTGATATTGAATGCTAATGGGATTATTATCAACAGATTTCCGCGAGTTGATATTCACACAACCTTGCAGGATTCCCATCTTTACATCTTTAAGCGATGGGTAATTGATTTGATCGCGCAGAGGAAAGCTATCTCTAGCGTGTGTGAACATCTTGTCCCATTGCTGGTGAAATGTCAACATCAAAAATTACTGCTGGAGAGAGAAGGCGTAGACAAACGTATGTGATTCTGTGATAATTGGGCAGATTATGTTTACCCGAGTGCATCTTGAAATATGAATGGTTTATTATTACGTATAATTAAAAAGTGGCAGCAACTTACGAGAATTTCCAAAAGACGGCAATCGCATTCTCCACCACGTGTGATGAAGACGTGAAGAGCTCACCGGTGCGATGTCAGATATTCACATATAAGACGGGATTTTGTGGTCGCGGTAACACCATAGCCAAGTATTGTGACTTGAATCGTCATGTAGGTCGTGCTTCCTTAATTTCACGTTGGAATTGACCGAGTTTGCGTGTTGATATCGTTTTGAATAAACAGTTAACCAAGATAAGTAATGAAGTGCGTGTTTCCGCCTCAGCGGAAATTGGTCCCAAAACTCAGGTATGCCTTCTATTTACGCTTAATTCATTTTTAAGATACTTTTTTTTATTGAATGTATAAAATAACAAAAAAAGGTTGGATCGGATTCGTTGGTTGGCGACGATACGAAAATCGAAAATGCGTACATTAAAAGATCTACTGTCGGTGCCCATTGTGTTATTGGGAAGAATGTGAAGATTTCGAACTCAATAATCATGGATAATGTCACCGTTGAAGACAAGTAGGTTTAAATTATTATTTATTTCATATCATGTTAGCATATTAGAAGTGGGTATGGATGAATGGGTTTGTTGCATTTATAGTGTCAAGATAGATGGATGCATCATCTGCTGTGGAGCAAGGATAGGGGACAAAGCGCAACTGAAAGATTGCGAAGTTGGTGGCGGTTATGTCGCGGCACCGGAAAGTAGGTGTTTTATGACATTTTTCTAGGTTTCCTCATGCCAGATTTGGTTTACGAAAAATTTTTTTTGTTTTTTTTTTTTTTTTTTTGGTTTGTTTATTTTTTTTTAAGCCATTGCAAAAAATGAAAAATTGGTCGAATTTCGTGATATCTCTCCTCTTGAAGGTTAGACGAGTTACCGGCCGTCAAATTGGAAAGCGAAAGACATCGAATAGTTTTATTTACAAAATTTGATCGAGAATCCTATAAAAGAGAACTTAATCATTATTAATATAATTTAATTAATTTTATCGTCAACGAACACGCTTTATTCTGGAATTTAGAGTATACGCATGTGCAGTATATTCATGAACAATTGGAAATAGAAAAAGTGAAAATGTGGAATTTTTTTAGATGACAAGAACAATTTGAATTTGTTAGGAAGATCCATAATAGAAGACCCTGTTTTTTGCAAAATTTTCGGTTTAGCCAAACTAATTGAATTGAAATTGAATCATAAGAATGAAAATAAATAATAAAGTCAATAATGTCGTATGATTATTCTTCAAGTATACTTTTCAAAATTTTAGCTTCTCATAGAACTGAATGAAAACAACAATATATTGCCATTTGAAAGTTCCTTTAAGACAATAAATAGGTTTTTTTTTTTCTTTTAAAATTATCAGTACTAAATGATTGATTGATATCTGTGGTGGAATTGTTGATCTTACTATATATGGTAATTCCACCATAATTTTATGTGAAAAATTTAATTTAATTTATTTATTTGCAAATGTGTTTACTGCATGCTATTAAGTACTGACAGACCTCGAGCCCAAAGGCCTGTACGGAAAGGTATAACTCTTGTACACTGAAAAAAATTTTTTTTTTTTTTTTTTTGCTTTTTATCGATTTGACTTTACAAAATATATTCAAAAATCTTCTGCGGCGGTAAACCTTCAACTATTACTCGATAAATGGCGGTGAATAATTTGAATCTGAGTGAATGAAGGAGAATTGATGGATCAATAGAACAATTCAATTTGAACAAAGGTAACATCAGAACTAAATTAAATACACACTCATTTTCTAACCCATCGTGAGCTATCACCCGGTTTAGTTCCTTGGCAGTAAGAGTGCCTTGTAATTTTTGACCGTTGAGAAGTTCTTTCTCTAGTACTTCAAATGACTAATGTGGTAACGGAATATGTTTTTAGAGAATTTTCTATTAAAAAAAAAAAAAAAAAAAAAATCATTTTTATCACCTTTCCGGTGACCACGTGAGCTTCTGCAACTCTTCGGTTCCTTCCACCGTAACAGCTGGTAATAACATCCGCTAGTCCACAGCTATGGAAAAACGTCTCATCCTTAATGCCCTCATAAAATCTCTTGATAAAAGATCTCATCTCCAACACTCCGATCCTGATAATCGCCGCCTTAGTATTATCGCCCATTTTCAGGCCATCGACAATACCCGCACCGATGGCGATCACATTTTTCAATGCACCGCACAACTCCACACCCACAACATCATTTACAAGACCCACACGGAAGTATGGAGTTTCTAAAAGTTCTTTGAATAATTTACCGTCCCCTTGTGATTCATATCCGATCGTAGTTTCCGAAAATTTTTCTTCGGCAATTTCATTGGCAATATTGGCACCACTCAGAGTGCACACAGGTAATTGAAGGTGTTCCCTGATTAAATGAGATATAGGTTGAATACCAGAATCGGTTGTGTTGAAACCTTTAACTAGTGATATGGCCTTGGCATTCGGGTTAATGTGGCCTTTTAGTTGGCTGCATACGTTTTCTACGAACTAAGTGAAAGAGGATCATTGGTTATTACGGGAAATGTCATTTAAAATAATTCGTTATGTATCATGGCTGACCTGATGAGGCAAAACAAAAATCAAACTGGTGGCATCTCTTGTGGCGTCCAACAAATTGGAAAACGCCACCACATTCTCGGGAATCCTGTGTCCGGGTAAATATTTTACATTTTCATGTCGTTCATTGATAATCTCGGTGAGTTTACGACCTTCGACGAATTCCTCGAATACCCACAATCTTACTTCATGATGAAAGGTAGAGGATCGTTTTACATTGTGGCCTGCAATTTTTGCTACTACCGAACCCCTGTGATAAGAGAAATAAGAAGTCGTTCATGTAATGGATAACAACCGATCTCAATAGAAATAGTTACCAGTTGCCAGAACCGATGATGGCAACTTTATCTTTAGGAGCGATTCTTGTTTCTTTTCCCATTTCGATTTCCCTCTTATACTTCTCTTTATTGTGGATATAACTTCTCGAGAATGAATGAGATAAAAAGTGATTGATTTTACTACGAATGTGATGATGAGTTTTTATAGAATTCTGGAATATAGTAATCGTTTGAATCAAATTTTTTGATCCTGTGAATTTGCGTAATTTTGTATTATTCACACATGTTAAAATATCCAATTTTTTTATAGCGTGAGTATGAATTCCGCAAAATATAGTAACTCTAAAGTTTACGCGATTATTATAAAATATCATTGATAAACGTCGGTGATTTTGCACTCAAGTATTTGTGTTATCTTTATTTAACTGGTAGCTTTTCAAAATTGACGTGAATTTTACCATAATCGGTTTGTAAATTTGCCCTCAATTGCGTAATAGAAATGAAATTGCGTAATAAAAATGAAATTGCGTAAATTAATGCCATAAATAGGTAACTATTTTTTTTTTTTTTTTTGCCTCTTTTTATATAGCTAATTGAGATTTCACTTTCCAGGACCTTTACTTAAATGGTATACACAATATCAAATTATGTATGTCACCGGAGCAAACGAATGTGACCCCATTCTGTCGGATCGTGTCAGGACCGATCCGTGAATAGAAAGAGATATAGATTACTGATTAAAAATATTTTTTCTATTTATATCGACAATCGGCTAAGATTTTGAAAGTCTTAACGCAAATTCAGATGTTATTTTTGATTATTAAAAAACCGACTGGTCTCCGTTTTTGTATTACAAATACAAAAACATATGATAGCTCACTCACTTACTCATCCGTTTATCCGCTCGCCTTTCCAATTACGCCGGCACGCAGAAAAAAATCATCGCCTGCCGAAAAATTTTTGTGTTCGATTTTTTTGCCGTTCGAATTCGGATAATCATTAAAAAAACAGCGATCGTAATAATCACAAATTTATCACAAGAGTGATACGCATTGAATTTAATTACTGCTATACAGTACACGTGAAAGTAGATTTATTATCGAGCATATTCACCTCATGCTTTAATAATATCTTTACCTTGTTTTGGTATAATATCTATAAACTTATTAAAATTCTATGTTAATGCTATCTCATGCTATTTTTAAAATTTCCTCAAGTCATTCTTGGATCAGGTTAAACATTTATTAATTTTGTTTCGTAAATTTTTTATTAAATTCAAATTAGCGAATTGAGATAATCGATCTAATAAGATAATAGAATTTTCATACAGTAAAACCAATCTTTACTAATTTAGTAATATATTTTCAATTATTATCACTCAAAAATAAAGAATATATCCTGTACTTTTTACTAATTCTCCTCTTTTAAAAATAAAAATTTTTTTAATAATTTTTTGAAAAAAATAACTCAAATACAAATCAGAAATAATAAATCTCTTTAATAAATTACAACCTTTATACTAATATTATATACTGTATACAGTGTGTTAAGGAAAAAATCATAATTAAAAAACATGTGATAGCTATATAATGAATAATATACTATAAGTTGCATAAAATTTGTACTATAAATAGCAAAAAAAACACATTCAAAAACTCTTTTTGCTGATTTTCTAACTATATATAAAAAGATGTTTACAAGAAACTTTTATATTTCTTGCTAATAAAATCTTATCACTCTCCTTAAATTATATCTCTTCTTTTTTATTTATATTTCTTTTTAAATAAAACTTAATTGCTGGTAACTTAAAAAGTTATGAAATACCTATTTTCAATGACAAAAAAGTATTGAAAAAAAGAAAAACTGAAGTGTTACTATTCATTTACTTATTAAAGAAACATCATAAAATAGTTAAAGGATAAGAAATAAAATATTTACTCTCATTGTTCTTATCTGAGATTATAATATACTCTTTCTTGATTTTTTCTAGAAAATTTTGCTTATCTCAGTTTGATCTTAAAATTTAAGTAATACAAAATTTCTCAGGTAATAATTAAATAGCATAAAACATATTAATAAAATAATATAAACAAGTTTCATTAATTATCTAATGTATCCAAATATACTTCTTTAACTTTATGAAAATTTAAATATGTGAAAGATCAAAAAAAATCTTTAAATTATTAATACTTAATTATCAAATCAATATATTATAACTAAAATTTAAATTAACTAGTATGTCACATATATATTAGACAAGAATTCAATTTCTATAAGTAATAATACTTTAAAAAAAATATAATAATATTTATAAAGATTAATAAAAATATATCAAAAGTATTAAAATTTTTCTTTTTAAATTGAAATTATTGTAATGATAAAGAAAGACAGATTATTGGATAATGAGATCTCTTCACATTATCCTTTCTTTTTTTATATTTTAGAGTCCCTTCAAAACTTCACAACTTACTATCACTTGAAGAAACACCTATAATAATCTCATATTGAATAGAATATGATAAAAACAAAGCAAGAATTAAAAAATAATAGTTACTTATAAATACAGTATAGGATATTGAAAACCAAAATATAAAAATTGTTTATAACTTTATAAATACTAAATAAAATTAAATAAAATTTTAAATATATGTTCTTAAATACTTATAAAATAAAATTACTTAGAACTTATAAATATATTATATATATATATATATTTTTTTAAAAAATTATATTTTATTAAAAAATTTAAATTTAAAATTGATTATAGTAAACTATATTTATAAATTTTTTTTTAAAAAATTTTTTTTAAACCACAACTGGTATTAGATACAAACACTTTTTATTAAGAATTAACTTAACATCTTGAATAATAAAATCTTTTAGAGTATGATATTAATTATCTTATACAAACTATATATTTCTATATATATATAGATTAATGATAACCTATTGTAGTTTTCTCTAGGTGAACTTGCTACCACTTTGTGAGTGAAACAGATCCAACTAGGAATCAGATGGTCAAATACATAGTCATAGATAGTGAAACAGGCTAATTTAATAGTGAGCTTTATAAATTTTTGTATTATATTTATTAAACTAGGTTAATAGTGTGTACCCAATGGGATTTTAGTTTTACCCTTTAATACTCCTAAAGATATTATTTACTCAAACCTAAGAAGGAGGCACTTTATTTTCTTTGTCACTACATGTGTTATTGGATCAGCTCTATTTTAACAATTTTTATTTAAGCGAAGCACTATATTGGGATATTCTGAGCTAAAAGGATAAGAGTCCTGAAGACTATCAGGGCAGAAGGTTTGTAGGGCATTTATGGTAGGTTAGGCTAGAAGCCTTTCTTCATGCAATTCTTCTGATAGTACTATTATAGATCTCATACTAATAAAAAAAAAATTTATTCAGCATATTGCCACTTGTATAACATTTGGCAAAAAATAAACAATTCGGCAAAAAAAAAATAATTTGACATATTGCCACTCATGTAATATTTGGCAAAAATAAACAATTCAGTAAAAAAATGATATCATTAATACACTGATTCAGTTTGCAAAAAAGCATAATAAATATAATAAGCTATAGGCTGCACAACAAATATCCAGATAGGGGCAAGCCACTATTCAAGTAAGAGAAAAAACACTAGCTTCAGAAATCTGTATAATACTCAATAGTATTATTGTGAGTATCTTAGGAGTAGGTAAGATAATGTTTTATAAAGAATAAATCTTAATACAACATATAATTTACCTCTGACTGCTTGGAAAAGAAAAAGAAGAGGATCTGCTTTAGCTGTATATCAAAAGTGAACTTCTTGAAACAATTAAAAAGAAAAATATGTATTAAAAAATATAAAAATCCTTTCCATGGAGATTGTCACCTAGATAGAAAATAATTTAACAATAGACAATGAGATTACAATGTCTAATATTCAAAAATAAGAAGAGATAGAAGAGGAAATGAAATTCAAAATACTGAGATAAAAAATCAAAGATCAAAATATAAGTGAATTTAACTATATAGCACAAGAAATAAAGCTATAAATTTCACTTCAAATCTATATTACATAAGTAAATAAGGAGCATATCGATTAGAAGCCATAATAGCAAACATTCTAGAAAGCTCAAAAAAGAAAACTAAAGCCTATCTGTGCAATATTTTAAAACTATCCCAAGACAAACGAAACTTTTTTTATAAAAGTTTTATTAATGGTAATAAATAGCTGATTCTTCACTTCAAAGAAGAAGAATATTTCTTAAATGTTTAGAAGAGATAAATAGAAAGAAGAAAGTCTTTAATATTCAATGACTAGAATTGGAAAAAAGAAAATATATGGATCAATTAGCTATAGATAAAATAGAGAAAAAGATATTTTGAATTCATAATTCAGAAAAAAGCAAAGACATATGATATACAGTATAAGTCTAGTAGATATGAATCATAAACTTTTCAGAAATTATATAAAAAAATATTTAAAAAGATATGGAGATATTAAAAACATTGATTTTTATAAAGTAAAAACTAAAATCAGAATAAAGGTCTATCTCAAGTAGTATAAATACTTCAAAACCAATCCTGAAAAAATATAAATAATGTTACTTGAGATAGAAATAACAAAAACAATTTACTAAAGAATAATCAACTAATAAAGAAATAAATAAGGTTTTGATCAAATGAAATAAGCACTTGGTCAGGCTCTTAAGCACAAATAGAATACTCTCAAGTTTAATAGCTAGAGCACTTAATAGTATAAAAGCTAAGGCCTATTATACATTAAGAAATCCTTATATATTGAAAAAATAAAACTTTACAATAGTATACTTTGCTATAAAAGAAGCAATGACAAGAGCTTGCAAACAATATATTTTTTTGCAGTGACTAAGACTATTATAGAGTACAAAAGTCACAATAGGAGACATTATAAGGGGTTCTAAACCTAGAGTTGAAAGATTAAGAAAAAGGTTGAGGCATAGAATAGTGAAATGGATACTGATCCTATATCAGATTTGCTATTAAATAAGTAAATCAATAAGCTTTATTACAACTATTGAATATAAATGGTCAACTAATTAAAGAAAAAGATATTAAG